AAGAACATTAATGTGGTTGAGCTGAGACAAGCTATATTGCCGTGCTTTGCTGGGGGTAGTTTAAATGGGTCCATTATTTCTGGAAAGCAATTTGGCAGTGTATAATATCAAAGATCTAAAATATCTTCGTATTTTCTGATGCAGTAATTCCACTTCTAGTAATTAATCCTAAGAAAAGGAACAAGAAAACTACATATGAGCATTTTATAAGAATTTCTTTGCAAAGATATTATATATCTAAATGTTAGAAATAGCCTGCACACCGAATGAATGAGAAATGGGTAAATTATAATACGTTCAACATTGTTTTTGATTAATTTTTAATAATCAGGAAAAATAAAGTGAGAAGCAGGTTACAAAGTCACATAGACAAGGACAAGGAGGTAGAACAGTAGAATTAAGAGAATGGGTTTTGGAGTCTGACCTCTTGGTTTACAATCTGACTCCACCAACAAATAGCTGTGTAATCTCAAACCAACTATGTAATCTGCATGTGCTTCAGTTTCCTCATCTGTGAATGTGTATGAAACCAGTAAGTACCTCATTGGGCTTTTGTGATGATTTAGTGAGAGAATACATACACAGCGCTTAACTCTCCTTTGCACATAGTAAACACTCAACAAACGTTAGTTATTATTAGTAACGATGAATATTACATTTAACATAATGATTGGCAAGAAAAATGTCAATATATTATTGGATTGTTTCTAAGTGGTACAATTATAGGTTTCTATTTTCTTCTTTGGTCCTTAGGTAGTGCAAAGGACTGGGACCTTGGGTGGCTTGGCTACTAACTGAAAGGTTGGCGGTTGGAATCCACCTAGGGGTGCCTTGGAAGACAGGCCTGGAGATCTACTTCTGAAAGGTCACAGCCATTGAAAATCCTATGCAGTGCAGTTCTACACTGTTCTTTATGGGGTCATCATGAGGAGGAATTTACCTGATGGGAACTCTCCCCCCCTCCCCCACGCTTATTTTCTTCTTTCGATCTTGTCATATTTTTCAAACTGAAAATCAGGAAATATGATACTCTTATGATGAAAAACAATTGCCATAAAAACAAAGGGGAATGTATTTCTTAGTACATGGGTACATCTAGTAATTAAATGAGAGAATATATGGAAGCCCCTGGCACAGTGCCAGCCATACAATATATCTGCAAAACATGTTCGAATGACACCACTGAGTGTCTTAGTCAAAGGCCAGCTAACGTCAAATTGCTGATTCACACCCAAGACTGTTGAAAGCTGTCTGTCCATCCTTTACTGATGGTTTCCATAGGGCAGTGCCTCATCACGGCCCTCCTCCATTACCACCAGCCAATTCTCCTCAAGGTCTCCCTCACTGGAATAATTTCACCTTAGTCGCCAGCCCTGTGGCCGCCTTGCCACATGATGAGGTTACATACTCCACCAACACTGGTTAGATGACTGAACCCAATATAATAATTGGAAACATAAAAACATTCTATAAAGTCAGCAGCTTAACTGTTTTACACACAGTAAGTATTCCAATTTTCTAAGACTGATTCCTAACTTTTAATTATACACTGCCACTCAGATTAAACTCTCTATACATTCTTGAGGTCTCTACTACATTAGGTCACTGTGGTAGGTTTTCCAAACCTTAGAAGACTCACATTGCTTTGAGTTTTGTCTTAGCAAAAAAGCAGCTTTTTTAAGAATTCAATTTTGATTTAGACCTATTATAATATTCTGCTTCAAAAGACTATCCAAAGAGCAGTTGTCAAGCAACTTCAAAACAGTATGCCTGGCATTTAATTGTCATTTTACTTTTAATCCTCAGCCCATGGCCTAAAATGTGAGGATTCATTCAAGTCTTAAGAGAATATGAATATGCTCTAATAGTTTTTGATTAAATTTATAGTTCTATTAAAGAGTATGACTCTAGATCACCAGTTCTCAAAGGGTGGCCTTCCAGACCAGCAACCTAAAATTCACCTGGGACCTTGTCAGTAATGCAGATTCTCAGGTCCACCCTCTACCCCCAACAGACCCAGTGAATCAGACCCTGCGACTGAGGCCCAGAAATATGAATTTTAACTAGACTGTGGTGATTCTGATGCAGTCTAGAGTTCTGAGAACAACTTCATTAGAAATTTGTGAACCCGATTAAAGTCTAATCATTTAACTGTGTAGTGCTAGGACGAAATCTAGAGCTAAAGAAGCTTTGAAGGTGTGGATGGGAAGTTCCTGGGGCAGAAAATGACCCTTACACAAGCTGCATCTTACTCAGAGAAGCTTGAAACTACAGTGACCTGACAACTTCACTGCCAGGTGAAGAGTGAAGTGACGACAAGCCTGAGAAGCAAACAATTCATGGGTCTATCGTAGAGCAGAGGGTTTGAAACGCTGCCGCTGAGGCTCCTTTCTGCCATGAGAGAGGCAGTAGCCTCAGGCTGGAATTAAGAATTTGATCCCACTCTGAGTAGCTGGAAAACTTTGAGAAAGCCACAACCTCAGTATGCTATTAGCAAAAGTGCAATTTTTAAAATGTCTGAATGCTCTATAGCTGTGGAGCCAGGTAGATATTAAGCTGCTACTTAAAAGTCAGGAGATCGTAAAAGAGGTAAGCCATCAAAACTCCATCTCTCAGCTACCGTGCGGACTCTTAAAATCTGTCTAGCACCTCCCCCCCATCACCTGGCAACTAATAGAAACTTAATGTTAATTATACTGATGACATATTTTCCTCTTCTTATAAGTGCTAAGAACATTTAGTTATGAAGGTACCACAAAAACAATCTCAACGGGACTTCAATTTTTACCCAGTGAACTACAAGTCCACAGAACTACATGGTAGAAACCTGCATACATGGTATAAAGACTGTGAGTTATTAAAAAAAAAAAAAATCAAGATTAAACATAAGAAAAATTTTGTTGATAGAAGAACCACAAAAATAAATATTTATATAAATTGAATTATAAATTAGTGAACACAACCTACCTATACACCTACAACATTGCATAGGAGTGGTACCTAAGACAACTGGGCAAACTGTAAATATGTAAAGTGGAAAGAAGACAGCTGGTAACTAGAAGAAAACAACTGACTCCCTGAGACTTGGTTCCTTAAATGGGGATAACACCAACCACTTCCCAACACTTTTACATGTGGAACTGCCTAGCACAGCGCATAGAGGGGATCAATAAATGTTTCCCTGGATCTGAATCTGTTGAATCTGACTTTGTATTCCATGTTCAAAACAAGACCTATACTTGGTTTACCTGAGTTTCAAAAATCACATGACAATCTCTGAGACAAGTGGTGACTCCTAATTTCACTGCATAGGAAGCAATCATTCTCCCACTCATGCCTTCTATTCATCAACCAGTTTTGGCTCACAACCCTGTTTCACATATCCACTTCTGATCCTCAGGCACAATTTTTATCGTTCCTGTTTTACAAGTGTGGAAACACTCAATTGTCTAGGCAATCTCATAAGATTCTAGACGCACTGAGCAGAGCAGCTAGGTCTAGAAGGCCTCTCTCCACCAAATCAGTGTCTCATCCAAAAATCACATGGAGTGGCTTCATCAAACTCAAGATAATTGATGAGTTGATAAGGTCTAGACCTCAGAAAATTCTACTAGGGAAAGAATATAGGAAGCTTAGGAAACTATATAAAGTATGAAAGGATAAGAAGGGAGAAAATCCTTTCAAAGGAACTCCCCTTCCTCCACAGGCACATGGCTGCCAGCAAGAGACCACATTTCCCAGTCTCCTTGTGGCCAGGTGCGCCATGTCTAAGTTTGTGCCAATGAACTGGCAGGAGAAGTGATGAAACAAATTCCTAGTCCCGGGTCTTCCACTCTCCCCCTTGCTGGCTGGAAGTGGTAGCAACTGGAGCACCGTGGAAGCCCAGAGCCGCACTGCTGGGCTGGGTCCCTCCGTCTTAGGTAGAAGAGAAACAAACCCCCACGGTCTGAGGCCACTGTATTGTTTAAAAAAAAAAAAAAAAGTTGCTATCAATTCTGACTTGTAATGACCCAGTATCAGAGTACAACTGAGCTCCATAGGGTTTTCAACGGCTGACTCGGAAGTAGATTGTCAAGTCTTTCTTCCAAGAAGCCTTTGGGTGGACTCAAATTTAGGTCTCTGTTATAGCAACTTAACCTCTACTGCACTATTACAAGAAGGAGAGAAATAAAGTAGGCGAGGAGAATGAACAAAAAAAGTCCACACTAGGTTAATAAACCACCAAAGTCTATAGTACAGAAACGTACTTCATTATACAAGAAAGGGATGAAGAGAAATCAGCTTTAGTAATGAGGGGTTTGCCATTCACTTACTGAGAAATGACAATATTTAATAAACTATGTACATAAGCGAATATTTTCTGGCAAAAAGAAAAAGTAATGTTTTAAAATGTATTAAAAAAAGGTCTGGAAAACAAATGAAAAATATTAAGACAAACTGTCAACAACTTGCTGGATCATAAGAAAACAAGAACATTAAAATTCCTTAAGTGCTGTTTTTAAACAGCCAGGAAACTTGGCTTAAAATTATCATCAATTATTTTTTAAACTGTAACAGTAAATGATAGGTATATAAAGAATGAGTCACATAGCCTTTTCAAGAGGAAACATGTATGGTGACTTATTAAAAGCCTAGGGTTACAGACCTTATCTAACCAAATTAGTAAAAACTTGTCCACAAAGATAAAGACCAAAGACTAATGAGAGATAGCAATGGCTGTAGCTGCAGGGAAAGCTTACTGAGAAGAATGAGGGTAACTGTTGGGTATGGTAGGCTTAAGTAAATTAATATAATGGATCAAATAAGTATTAATGAAGACAAAACCAGTTGATTTCTCACCTTTCTTTTACAGGTGAATGAATTCTACAGCTTTGTGTGCATCACACATCTTGACACAAAGCCTAAGTCACCTAACTTCTGGGAAATGCGAAGCTTGTGAAGAGAGAGGCTACAGATTTGAAAGGATCAGGCCTTCCTAGAGAAAATAATATTCTGTCTTCCAATGAATCACCAGGAAAAAGTCAAGCTTGAATTTGTGACCTTGAATCACAAGAATATCGTAACAAAAGAACGAATCTTGGTGAAGTAATTTTAGCTTCTCAAATAAAGCTGCTATTAATACAGCTTTAACTGATCACAATTCCTCGTGTGGAGTTTCCAGTAACTGAGACGTGCTTGATGAGTCAGGTTCCAGTGCAGTGAGAGGGAGTCCACGTCCAAATATATTTATAAAATAAGAAGTGCATTGTAAAACTTCCTCTACAAATGTTTGGACTTTGCTTATAAAACCTACCCCAACAATGCCAGAGCTCTCACAAAAACAATAAAGAAGAAAAAGAAAAGCCACTTATTGGTACTAAAGCCTTTACTGTAATAAACCAAATATATTTACAATTTATACAAATGTTTAACCTTCAACAAAAATACAAAAAAACATTTCACAAGATGCAAAACCAGGGAACGAGTTCATCGGAGACACCACTGCTCTAGAAAGGGTGGAACGTGAGGTGAACTGCAAGAAACAGAAAGGTAATCTCACGCTCAGGCAACACGCGACTGGCAGATCACACAGAAAGGAAATAAGGGGCTCTAACACGGGCCAGCAGATTCCGTTCCTCAGTCGTACCACCCTTGGCCCCTCTGTCCACTCTGCCTCGGTGCTCCACTTGGTCTAGGTAGCTAGGTGACCTTCTGCTGATGGATTTGCCGCCTCCTCTTTGTAGACTCAAAGTAGTTTTGTGTCAAGACTCGGAAACAGGTTTTTGTTTTTCCTTTTAAAGTTACAACGCCTCTATTTCTACAAATTCAAAACATTTTGGCCCAATTCAACTATAAACGTTAAACCACATTATGTTTTCAGTAGATGACTTCATAGACTGTAGCCTTCTTGTCCCCTGAGCCAGTGACTATGTATTTGTCATCCACAGAGATGTCACAGCTAAGCACTGACGAGGACTCTTTGGACTGGAAGAGAAAACAGAGGGTACGTGTTTAAGGTGGAGCCGAGAGACACAGGGGGCCCTGCTCCCTCCGAGGGTTCTTCACCTCCGGTTTCACTGGGTGCACCATGGTCGAACTGTCATTCCAGGTAAGCAGTGCACACTTACCTGGAATATACTGGCTCCGTAGGGGGTCCGCCAAGCATTGAGGAGGTTGTCTTTTCCAGTACTCACAAACCATTTACCTAGAATTAGCAAAGGAACATGTAGTTTTAGCAAAATTAAAATTCCCATGATACTATAAGCATAATCATAATCAAACTCAGATCATTTTTAATGAGTCCCTGGGTGGTACAAAAGATTAATGAGTTTGGCTGCTAACTGAAAGGCTGGAGGTTTGTGTCCACCCAGGAGCACCTAGAGGAAAGGCCTAGCAATCTCCTTCTGAGAAATCAGCCACTGAAAACCCTATGAACACAGTTTTACTCAAATGGGGTCACCTTGAGTTGAAATTGTCTCATGGCAACTGGTTTTTATCATGTCCAAGGGATTGGTCTATGACATGAGTGGAAAGAGCAGATGTTTTAAATCTGGGCTCCCCTGTGAAGTAACTGTGTGACCTGGGGTATGATCCAAGCAGTGGCAGAGACAGTGTCAGCCCTGTTAGCCACTGGATTCACTACATGTAGCATCAAATAGTGAATCGAGGAAGTTGTTCTGCTGTAGTCCATATCCTCAAAATGGGGCTAGTAAGGACCCAACGGCTAATTTAAGTAAAATGCCAGACACAACACACGCCACATGGAATGTGCTCAGTAAGTAACAGCTATTCATCCATCGGAGTGAGTCCCTGCGTCCACTGTTGGTCCGAATTCTGAGACAAGCCACAGTTCTAGGTGGTGCAAATGGTTAATGCGCTCAGCTGCTAACCAAAAGGCTGGTGGCTCAAGTCTACCCAGAGACACCTCAGAAAAAAGGCCTGGAGATCTACTTCTGAAAAACCAGCCACTGAAAATCCTATAAACACAGTTCTACTCTGATACACATGGGGTTGCCATGAGTCAGGATCAACGACAATTTATTTTTATTTTTAAACACATCCATGCATTTGACCACCTGCAGTGTACAAGAATAGCCTCAACAGGAACTTCAGTCCTTTTTATCCTCACGGCAGAGTCTGGGACTCTGGGTGCTGCTAAATATTCCTCCTCCTGGTCAGTCCATGAAGATCTCTGCCATTCGTGCCCCGTTCTTAGAAATTCCCACCTGCCCCTCTTCAGAGTGACAACTAACTATACTCCCATCCTCACCCTAGGTTATCCCACTAAAAACGAATATTAGCCAAAACCTCGTATAAGGCAATTTCACAGTCTGCCTAACTTTTCTCAAATTAGCCAAACAGACTGAAATAGATACTACTGTCCTCTGAGGGACATAGTAAAAAAGAATTATTGCATCCAGCTGTTCCGAGAACATTTTTTTTCCAGATATAACCTCTGCCATGTTCTTTAAGCAGTATTTTCCATGCAGGCCATGGATGCCCTCCAGTTTCCTTTTAGTGAACTCACCACAATAAGCAAATTTTAGGGACAGCACACAGCTCTCGTGGAGATGCAACTGGTACTTGTCGGGCTTACTGACGTGCAGAACCTCCACGTTGCTGCTTTCCATGCCCACGGCGAGCCACTCTCCAGTGGGGCAATATCCAAGCGAGAAGATCTATAGAAACAGAACAGGCTCACTGATTCTCCCACCCAATAAACTTAGGAAGTGAAAAGGCAACAAGATAGGGAAAAAAATACCAAGAATGTGGGGATGCCATCAGCAAAATCCAGACTGGAAAATTCTACAGGACAAGTAACCCAGCTCAGACAAACCAATGGTAAAAAATCCTTTATGAAACAACTGGGAAAATGTGAATGCTTACAACATATGTTATAATATTAAAGAATTACTCTTAATAAAAATGGTATTAGTCTGGGGAAGGGGCTTAAGAGAGTCCTTATCTTTTTAGAGATACCAACTGAAATATTTATGGATGAAATGACATGATGTCCCTGGGATTTACTTTAAAATAATCCAATGTTTGGGGGCGAGGGTGGTAGAACAGATGGAAAAAATTGACCACGTGTTGATGGGTGTTGAAGCTGGGATGGGTACATGGGGTTTACTGTACAATTCTCTGTATTTTTATATAGTGTTTGAACATCCTCTGTGCTTTTAAATATGTTTGAACATTTCCCTAAGAAGTTTAAAAAAAAAAATTAAGGCAAATCAAAAACAGTATCCCACTTATGCTGGGAAACGGGTAGAACAGGGTAAACTATAAGAAAACTCAACAAAACATTAACAGCAATGTGGTATTTAGCTGTATGGATGGTTGCTGTTGCTTTCTCCTTTTTTTTTTTTCCTGAGTGCAATTATATTTATCACCAAAAAAGTAAGTAAACACCAAGTAATGATCAAAAGAACAATTCTACCTTCAGAAAGTACTTATAATAGCAAGCACTGTCTCTCCTAAAACAAGTCTGGATTCAGATACTCGACAGCTAAACAATTTTCACAATCAAAACTGAAGTTGCCATTTTTATATTATTTCAAAACTCCATGACTCTAGTCAGCCATGACTCCATTTTTTAAGGGATGAGTGATAAAATGGGTTTCCACCGTGACCTTTGCATTTTTTTAAACTCCTCGATGCAAGGGAAATGAATTAACTTTCAGAGCAGTGCTGATTTTTCTCTACTCCTAGCGACATCCCTGCATATTTTTCAAGCTCTATTTATATATGAATCAAATAATCATCCCTCACCCCCACATGAGATGGGGAGAATATGTACAACAGATCAAACACTGCTGAAAGAAAACTGTATATTCTTCACTGCATGAACTCCTCCAGGGAACTCACGTATAAACAAAACAGCTAACGTGTCTTAACCAATAGGATTTCGAAAGCCATGCTAAGAGCTTCAGTGTTTTTCGTTTTGTTTTAAGCAGTATCTCAAATTCAGCTCTAGCCCTGTTGCTCAAGCTAGCTACTACTGTGCTGGGGGGTAGGGAAGGTGGAGAAGGACGAGACACACAAACCACCATGTGCAGGCTGGGCTGGGGACAGCCAATCACCTGGGATGTGAAGTCATGCTGTTGTAGCTGTCGCCCCTCGCGCAGGTCCCAGGATCTGACCGTGTTGTCCAAACCACCCGTCCAAAGCTTGGTGCCATCGTTAGAAATGTCAATACAGCTGGCTCCGTCTGTGTGGCCCTGGAATTGCCTGATAAAACAAACCAGAATGAATAATGATTTCCTGCCAGAGCTCAAGGAAACGCTGTTGTGTTGTTAGTTTTGGACTCCGTGTGTGTGTGTCATCTCTTCGGCGTCTGCTGACACGCAAGATCAAACTAACCTTCCCCCTGAGGAGGCTATGAAGCAGCACCTGCAGATTTTCTTTTTCTTTTTTCATGATCCAGGCACTAAAGACATGGAACGCCATCTTAGGTTACTACACAGAAGTTAATTATCTTCCTATGCTGTTCTTACAAATCCGTCTGGAAGGTATAATTCCTCCTAGGTCTGTAAACATGTTTAATAGAAGGTGGGGTGGGGGGGACAAATATACAAAATCCCAAATGTATTCCTTAAAGATAAAGCCCTACATTCCAACTGTGAAAAAGAAGTGGCTAGGTTACAAGCATGAGACTCCAGAATGCCTCCCAGTTTCGTGAGTAAGTCAAAACAGCGGTGCCCTTCCTGCCAACAGCACATGAGCTCACACGTTTCCTCCACCTTGCTGGCTGCAGTAGAAAGAGCCCGACATTAGGAAACCTGAACTCCCAGAGACAAGGGCTATCCCAGCCCCCTGCCCACAGGGGTTTTGAGCAGAGACAAAGCTAATTGCTGAGGCAGACCCATGGCACCTCAGCAAGTCCCTACTCGAAGCTGAGTGTAAGGTTGTTTTCTTAAAAGGGAACCTCATGCTTTATTCAAAAACCTTTGCCAAAAACAATCCACCAACAGAGATTGTTGAGCTCAAGCACTGAAAAGCCTATAAGCATGTGGGACGGTCCGTGTGAGCACCGCAGGGCGGGCAGCTTGTGGACAATGCTGGCAACTGTCCTTCAGGGTTCGGCTTTGCAGGCTGCAGGGGAGCTGGCAGGAAAGTGACGAGAACAGATGAGATGTCTGGACCCCATTCTCACTTTCAACACTGTGAAGAAGGCCTTTCTTTCTCTTATCTCCCCTCCACCCCTCATACCTTATTATTACCACAGAGCTCCAAACTTTTAAGCTGAGCTTGGAATTTAAGAACAGTGTAAGAGAAGAAAGGAGTCCCTGGGTGGTGCACATGGTCAACGCACTTGGCTGTTAACCGAAAGGTTAGTGGTTCAAGTCCACCCACAGGTGCCTTGGAAGAAAGGCTTGATGAATTATTTCCAAAATATCAGCCGTTGAAAACCATATGGAGCACAGTTGTACTCTGATACACCTGGGGTCCCCATGAATCAGTGTCAACTTGACAGCAACTGGTTAAGGGAAAAGAAAAACGTCACTGTTGCCCTGAATTCTGAAACAAGATGTGAACATCACTTCAGATAGCTTTCCTCCTCAAGCTATTCGAAAGTCCACACTCAGGATCCCATTCCAGTCCGTTCCCCATACACATCCCAACTCTCCTCCTTCACGGCCTCCATGTGGGGTTACCTCAGTTGATCCCAGCTGGCCTCCAAGATGTCCTCTCAGGCCCACCGAGGCCCAGAGCAGTTCGTTTTGCCTTTTGAAAACGTCACTTTTCTCTCTCCCAAACTTCTCTTGAAATCCAGTGACCTCCTCTTCACTTCACCCTCTGACTTCTTTTTACCTCAATACCTCATTACATGCTTTTACTCCTTGACTAAAAATGCCTTTCTCTGCTGACTTACACAGCTGGATAGGTGCTCCTTCATCTCTCTGCCCTGTGCCCACACATCTCAGCCTTACTCTCTGGCTCCCAAAAGGCAGATCTTACGACTGTTCAGAATGTGCTGGGTCACGGTAGATACAAAGATATTCCTCAGACTCTGCAGTGCCCCCTCTTACAGAGTAGCCACCAGCTACATGTGGCTCTCGGGCACTTGAAATGCGGTTAGTCCAAATAGAGAAAGGTTTGTAAAGTGCAACCCCATTATGTCCAAAAAGTATTCATTTACTCCATGGGAGCTGGCATAGGGTGGGAGTTCAGAGAGCCGAATGCCTGTGCTCCCACCTCAACTCCATCACCTGTGCCTGTGCAACACGGGGCAGGTGAATGGAACCTTTTTGTGCCTCACTTTCTTCATCTGTAAAATGGTATAACAGCCATAGAGATGTAATGAGAATTAATGAATTAACATTTAAAAAGCACTTTGAATTAATATTCCAAAAGTGCTACTTATCAAGTTTACTTAAAAAGAGAAGAAAAAACAAGAATTTGCTGGGTTATAGGTGGAAGGAAGGGGCTCTCTGCTCTGGCTGCCCCAGTTCATTTGCTTGCTCTGAGCTGCACAAGAAGTGGTCAGAGAAAAACGACTGCCACCTGGTCACCCATTCACAGGGCTAGAGCCTGGCCTGGTGACACTGACTGAATTTCTATAGAGGAGGACTGAACAGAGTGTGCTGCCGTGTTGACTTCCACAGTCCCTCCTCTTTGGCACATGGACTCAAAGGCATTAGCAAACCATAAACCAAACCCGTTGCCGTCGAGTCAATTCTGACTCATACCAACCCTACAGGACAGAGTAGAACTGTCCCACAGAGCTTCCAAGAAGCGGCTGGTGGATTCGAACTGCTGATCTTTTGGCTAGCAGCCGTAGTTCTTAACCAGAGCCATCAGGGCTCCAAAGGCATTAGAGGGCCTGCCAAATAAGCTAGAGTCCCTGGGTGGTGCAAACGGTTAACGCGTTTGGCTGATGACCTAGAGCGTGGCAGTACAAGTTCACCCAGGGCACCTCAGAAGGAAGGCCTGGTGATCTGCTTCCAAAAAATCAGCCACTGAAAACCCTATGGAGTACAGTTCTACTCTGACACACATGGGTCACCTTGAATCAGAACAGACTTGACGGCAGCTGATTTGGGCCAAATAAGCCATGGCCCTAAAACTGTACCCTCAACAAAGATTGTTTCCAAGTGAGCATATGAGGATGAAATGTGAATAAAAAGGGAAACACGTGCTGATTTTACCTTTGCCCTTTAATTGGTGCTTACTTTTTAAAAGGCTTTTCGTTAGCATCTCTGGGGTAGGCAGTAACTTTTGACAGGGGCGTGAGGTGGCAGGAGCCGAGGAGAGACAGGAAGGTAGCAGAGCCACAGCAGTCGCTAAGGTGAGGAGGGCCATTCCCGGGAAGCCAAGCAGAGCCCTGCTCGCCCCTGGGTGTAACGATCCCTGGGCAGGTCGTATTTAGTTACTGACAAACGCCAATACTTTAAAAGCATTTGTGTGTGAAATTTGTGGAATCTTCTCTTCAAACATCCTTTTGTTGATTTTCTGTTATCCTTTATCAGTGGGCTCCCATTTGCATAAACAAGGTTCTTGCCAAAGTCAAAAGTATCTAGTACTGAGGACCTTTCGTACTACCGTGTAATCCAGGTCATGCCATCCATTGGCAAAAGCAGAAATTTTTTTTTTCCCATCTTTTTTTATTGCACTTTAAATGAAGGTTTACAGAATGAATAGTTTCTCAGTAAACAGTTAGTATACATATTGTTTTATGACAATGGTTAACAACCCCACAACATGTCAACACTCTCCCTCCTTGACCTTGGGTTCCCTATTACCAGCTTTCCTGTCCCCTCCTGCCTTCTAGTCCTTGTCCCTGGGCTGGTGTGCCCCTTTAGTCTTTTTTTTTTTTAAACTGTACTTTAGATGAAGGTTTACAGAATAAATAGTTTCTCATTTAACACTTAGTATACGTATTGTTTTATGACAATGATTAACAACCCCACGACATGTCAACACTGTCCCTTTTCAACCTTGGGTTCCCATTACCAGCCAAAAGCAAAAATATTTTTGATAAGTTTATTAGTCTCTATACATCAACTAAAAAGAGAAGAAAAAAACAAGAATTTGCTGGGTTATAGGTGGAAGTGGAGCCCTGGTGGCGCCGTGGTTAAGCGTTTGGCTGTTAACCAAAAGGTTGGCAGTTCGAATCCACCAGCTGCTCCTTGGAAACCCTATAGGGCAGTTCTACTCTGTCCTATAGGGTCACTATGAGTGGAAATAGACTCGACACAATGAGTTTTTTTTTTAATATGTCAACTACAGATGGGAGCGTTACCAGTTGCTGTAGAGTCAATTCTGACTCATGGTGACCTCACGTGTGTCAGAGTAGAACTATGATCCACAAGGTTTTCAATGGTTGATTTTTCAGGGATAGAGTAGATGCCAGGCCTTTCTTCTGAGGTGCCTCTGGGAGGACTTGAACCTCCAACCTTTCAGTCAGCAAATGAGTGCATTTACGATTTACATCACCCAGGGACTCCATTAAGGAGGTAAAAATTCTTGATGACAGTCTTAGAGCTCCACAGTGTCAACGTGTGCTACAGCGCACCAAGACTCAAGGGGAGGGACACAGTTTTGTCTTTGCGAGTGCACACATGTACATGTGCACACATGCACACATGCCCTACTCCAGGACCTAGCTCCAAGCCTCGTAAGTAGTGTGTGGGCAGAGATTCTAGGACAAGTCAGAGAGAAGCAAAAGCGGCCCAGCTACACAAGGAGAACCTGCCCTTCCTGCCCTTAGAAAGCAGTATTCGCTCACCTCACCAGCGTCTGGTTGTGCAGGTCCCACACAGCGATGTTGCCGTCGCTGCAGCACGAGAAGCAGACCTTGGAGTCGGGGCTGATGGCCAAGGCATAGCAGGCAGGAGCCGAGGACGTCAACTCCGCCTTGATCCGCGGAGTCGGAGCCGCCAGGTCCCAAATGGATAGAGTACTGGCTTCCCCTCCAACAATTAGGGTGCAACCATCAGGGAGCAATTTACAGGAACGGATATAATTATCTCTATTCTGTGAAATAGATATAACTCAATTACTATCGTGCATTACCAAGCAATAGATAAGGCTGAGCTCTCTGACCGCCGTCTTGGTTGATGTGAAGAGTTGTATTTCACGGACACCTTAACAAGACAGAGAGTTCTGTAGTCAGTATTGGGGTCCTTCAAAATAGTTAAGCATAATAAACTCATAGGACTGCTGGGACATTCGTGAAAGCTTAGGTAACTGTTCCTGATGTCCAATTTCCTGCTTAAGAGACAGCACTGAACTTATCCGTAGATGTAGACCTACTTCTCCAGGAAGAAACCACTTTTCAAAGCCAGTTTATAAATCTTTTACCTCATCACCCTCCACTATTTACTATCTGGAAACTGCAAGACCCACTCTCTATGTCTTGATTTTTATTACTCGGAGCAGTCTACCTAATGCCTGTACTGTGTCTTCATTAGTCAGTTGGATCTTTATCTGAGGATTTAACAGAGCTGCTTTTTCACATTGTAATATGGCTGCTGTCACATTTAAGCTTCTCAATCTATAGACCAAAGAAATTGATAAAAGGTGGCATCTATCAAAAACACATATTTTTTAAAAATTAAAGAAAAAGTTTGATAAGGATATAAAAGGATCCTAAAATTACCTTCCCCACCCAAAAAGCAGTAACGTCTATCCTCCAATTTAAACTCAAAATAGAAACATGAAGTTTTTAACATGCTTGCATAATGGCTGATCTTTCCAAGATTAGAGAAACTTTAAACACTTAACTTCAGAACAGGTAATGAACATTACAAAATACCCACACTACTACAGAATGATGGGCTGTGTTTAAGTCCAAGTTTCGTAAATGGAGATATTTTTAAACTATTTGATTAAAAAAATAAACCAACAACTTCTAAAAAAATTCTCTGCATCTCAAAAACACCGCCACTCTTCTTTATGGGAATACTCTCTCTGGAATCCTAACAATTCTCCAGGCAGGCACCGGGGAAACTAAGCAACTGAGTAACAGCGTTTAGGCAGACACCATACCAGGGTCAGGACAGGTGGCCGGCCTTCAGTCTGCTTAAGGCAAATGGTACATGGTCTGTAAATCCTGGAGTTAAAGCTTAGAGCTTAAAGCATGTCCTGGCGTGTTCCCTGTTCCTGAAATATGCAAAATGTTATTTTCTCATACTCCTAGAGTAGTGGGTTAGGTGTTTGGAGAAAGCATTCTCACCACGTCTGTTTTATTGAGGGCCGCCTTCATTTCTTACCTGGCACCTGGAGCCCTCTGCAGTATGATCTATTAACCCTTTCCTAATGCCAGGATCACTGAAACTAAATCAGCTCTCCCTGGTCTCACTGAAAGCATGAACCTTGTTCAGGTGGTTTTTATGTCACTTTATCAAATGTTTACTATTCAATATTTATCTCAAGGCGGTAGGGAAATTAAAGTCGAGTGGACTGCAGGGATCAGAGTCCAGGCCGAGCTTGGGCTTTCATCCATAAATGGGAAACCCCTTTATAATACACATATAAACAAGGAGAGCTTCTGTATGAATAAAAATCCATCAATTCTGAGATTTAACCACTGAAATGGTAACAAATGAAATCTTCACATTCGAGGGAGTAGGGTGGGGAGAGCTAAATAGCCAACACAGGAAACAGAACGGGCTTCCATTTCCTCATAATAGGAATAAAACCCAGGCCCGGACAGCCATTTCCTTACGGAGCCTCCAGGGAGAAATTACCCTTGTGCCCAGTTCCTGTTCACTCACCAGGCAGTCGAGCTGAGAGACAGGACTCTTGTTGCCAGGCTGGCTGATGTCCCAGACCTTGACGCAGCCCTTCCCACCCGTGTACACGTGCCGCGTGGGGTTGCTGATGGTCACGGCGCACACCACCTCCCCGTGGTTCAGAGTGTTGATCTGGCGAGCGTGTCGGGGGATTCCAGGTCCAATGAGGGCGTCGGGGGGGAAGGGGACAGGCTGCATCTGACCGTCTGCAGTGACGTGGAAGGAGTATGCACTTTTGGAGAAGGGATGATCAGAGAGAAGAGGGGACAATGGAAAAAGGAAGACAGGAGAGAAGACAGAAAAGCCATTTATCATAAAGGAATCTGCCGTTAACTCAGCACTGCTCTGAGAAACACCAAGAAAACAAGAGATTCTCAATTTCATTTGTTATGATTTCCTTCTGAAATCAGCACAAGTTGGAGTATTTACTGATAGAACAAAGTGAAAATAAATAAATGCAGAAATCCTGGGTGGGGGGGTACCAATGGGCACATATATTGATCTGTATTTTGCTACATTAGGGTTTTAAAATTGTGCTTACCCATTCCATAAAGCAATTCTCAAATCTCATTATAAAACACTAAATGTGTTTCCAAATTAATATAAAATACCTCTTCCCTTGTACCTTATATAGTTGTATGATCTTACTACAATTTGAAATTATTACTTCCAATGCTTAAGATTAAATCCCTAAGAACACATAATAATTACACACAGTAAATAGCGCATTTCAACACACACACACACAAAACAAAAGCAGCTTTCTAAACATAACATTTCAAGGCATGGATCTAAAGCCCCTTTTGCATAATCAAGAGAAAATAAGTTTCTCTGACATCAAATGGCTTTGTGACAGAGATTTTAAGTTTCTTCCTCAACAATCAACCTTACCTCGGTCACAGAATCCCAACTCCATCTATGGCAACAAAGCTCCCAGCTAAAAAATTACTTTTTCCAGTTCCCCATTAGCCAAGTGTGCCCATGAGATATAGCCAGAAACCACTGGATGGCATTTTATAGAAATTCCTAACTTAAAAGGAAGGGGGAAGTATTCTCTTTTTCTCTTGCTCTTTCCTATTGATTGATGACTGGTGTTCCAGCAGCCATTGTGGACAAGATGAACTGAATATGGAAACCAACCGCTGAGGGAGGCAGACCAAAAAGACAGGATGCAGAGGCCCTGGTAATACAGCAGAACTCTAATACCCGCTCTGCATTGCCAATAGCTAGTATCTTTTATGGCTGAGAGAAATAAATTTCTATTTAAGCAACTGTTTTTCCTCTGCTAAATACAATCAAACCCAATCCTCACTGTACATACTTTTTTCCGATATCAAAATCTTAAAGCATATTTTTTTCTTCCAATGATCTAGTTATTTCAACTCTATACACTAATGTATTATGAACATTATAAAACATACACGAAGAAAATACATTTTAAAAGATGGAAGAAACAGAAGTGCTAATATAATCACATCACATCCCAACTGACGGAATTATGCACAGTCTACTGTGAAGACCACCACTGGCCTTTCTAGCCATGGTCTTGTAACTCCCACTCAGGTGACCGGGCGGGACCGAATGATAGGGTAACTGTGGACCACTAAGGGGACTGGTCAGTTTTGCCATCCTGCTGGGCTTGAAATGAGCCACCCCCGAGGTGGGAAAGAGAAGAGCCTACCAACATCAAGGCAGGAGAGACCAGGCGAAGACGACACAGTGGGCTTCCTGGCCTACGGAGCGAGAAAGCTTAGTGTCTGTGGGCAGAGACCGAGGGCCAAGGAGAAGCTACGCCTGAACCACAAATTTGGGACTTGCCAGCCTCCACAACTATGTGAGCCATTTCCTTAATATGGTTTGTGAGTTCTGTGAGACGTTGCAGCGAATTAGGGAACCCAAAGATGGGAGAGAGAGTACAAAGGCAAGAGGGAACAGTTGATGTTAGAGATGATGGAGTGGTATGGCAGCTTGGAAGAGCTGGACGTCTGGGACATCTTTAACCTCCACCTCATAGTAACCAGCTTTGTGCTGATCCTTATAAAGGAAATCATTCGTTTACTTCCTTAGCTTGGAAATAAAATAGAGGCTAAGAGTTTTCCTTCCATAAAAGCAAAACATCAAATATGTGAAGATTTTTAAAATAAATTCCCCTCATCCCAACCAGAAGAAACAATATTAGATGTCTTACTATCTCCTGGAAAATTGGTTCCAACAACAACTATTTGGCCCAAATCCTTTATGTTACTCTTAATTTGAATAATTGGGCACATGTAATGGGAACCACAGAGAATGTCCTGGGAAAAAGATATGCATATAAAACACGCACAGCTCAAGGCTCTCACGTCACCAACCACTACATCTCATACGTTTTATACAAAGGGATGCTTTGGTGTCCTCAGTAAAGTGTCAAGTCCATGTGGCATTTCAATAAATGCACATTATTAGTTGAATAGGGGCCTATACTACTTATTATGAAATATTTGGAGTTCGATTCATTTTATTGCCCTTGAGGAGGAGACCACAAGAACTGCAGGTATTTTAAGTCTATTCAAGTCCAAGGAGAATTCCTCTACAAGAGCAACTTATGTGGGGCTGTGGTAGTTCAGTGGTAGAATTCTCGTGTTCCACGTTGAAAGACCTGGTTCAATTCCTGGCCAATGCACGTAAAACGCAGCCACCATCTGTTAGTGGAAGCTTTCATGTTGCTATGATGCTGAACAGGCTTCAGCAAAGCTTCCAGACTAAGACAGACTAGGAAGGAAGACCTAGTTAACTACTTTCAAAATACCAGCCAATGAAAGTCCTATGATCACAAAGGTCCAATCCCATAGCGCATGGGATCACCGTGAGTCGGGGCCAACTCAATGGCAGTTAAAAACAAACAAGTTATGTGACCCTGATATCAGGAATCATGATTTGGACCCTAAAACAACAAATGACTATCCATGCGAAGCTGGAGAAATGTCGAGTTTTCACAAAATAAAAACAAGAGTTAAACACAGTTTATAAGAACAATGGTTAAGGCAGTGAGGGAACTTCTCTGTGTGAGGAAGGAGAAAGGGCACGCAGGAAGGCTAGTTTCTCTTTGCCATAAATCAAGGGGTGTACCTCCAGATAGTCTAAGTTTCCATCAAGTGCCCTTTTAATGATTCCAGACTTTCAGGGGAAGGAAACTTTATTTTGCTTCAGTTGGCACCCTGCTTATTATAGGGTTAAATGTTCCAGATTAAAATAGACCCACAGAGCACAGGGAGACGTGCACGTGTGTCTCTGGAACAACCCCTTCTCCTGCAGGTGTCCTAGTCTTTAAACTGCACAGGAGGAATGTGATAATCACACCAAGGCAATTTAAAATTGAACCACAGTGCAGCCAACTGCTGCCAGAAGCTGTGTCCATCCCATGGGAAACCCACAGGGATGTTAACACAGCAGACACAGGGGGCCTCGGAGGAGGCTGGTCTACCCTCATGCAGGAGGCGTAATCGCATGAACTAAAGGCATTCCAGCCAGGACAGCACAAAGGGCTGAAGGGTGTCTCAACGAGTGATCACCTGGAAGGAGAAACCAGAGGAACAAGCAAGACAGCTTTGAACCAACCAGTTATTCACCTACAGGAATGACACAGTACTTCTCTAGAAAAGGCCACACTGACGGCTCATCACAACGATATTAAAAATACTCTAGAAGGAAACTCACCTTCTCGATTGAGGGAGTAAAAGTAAAACGAACCAGGAACGGGTTTGCAAACAGAGAGTGAGTGTTTATGACTATATCTCAAGGCCGAATTCAGAAAGAGGGCAGAGACAAAAGAGGATATATGGTATGATTCTGTTTACAGAAGTTCAAAATCAGGCAAAATTAATCTATGGCATTAAAAATCAAGGTAGTGGCTACCCTCAGAGATGGGAAGGGGCACAGGAGGGGCTCCTGGGGCGATGGTGCTGCTGTGTTCCCTGATCCAGGAGCAGCTATACGGGTGTGCGCACTTGGTGATGTCACTAAGCTATACACATATGATTATGCCCTTTTCTCCATGTATATTATATCTCAATTTAAAAAGTTTAGATTTGTTTATTTATTCAAAAAGTTTATTTATTCAAAAGAGCACCTATCCGATTAACACATTAGATCAAGTCGGGAGAGCCCAGACTTTGCTGTTAATGCGCCTTAGGTTTGGAGTCCTGGCTCACCAGCCTCACTACTGTGTAAGGACCTATATCCTATAATGTGTCCACTTCCTGATCCATAAGACAGAAATAATAATAGTAAAATATAAGGGTCACAGGGGTGGCTGTAAGGATTAAGAGAATAGCAAAGCACTTAACACAGAGTACTTGGCACCTGCGGTGCGTCCTCAGGAAATGATGGTATCCTTATTAAACAACCATGGATTTTTTTAAGAGGGAAAGTGAGAAATACAATGAATCAAGGGCCCGTATCTCAACCACTGGACAGAACTGTGAGGGTCAGGGGATACAGAGAGGAAGGAAGAAGCAAGGTAGGAATCAGAAAAGCACAAGGACAATGGCTTTCTAGTTGCCGCTGAGTTGACTCCGATTCCTGGGGACCCCATGTGTGTCAGAACACAACTGTGCTCCATAGGGTTTTCACACAGAGACTGCCAGGCCTTTCTTCCGAGGCACCTCTGGGTGGGCTTGAACCTCTAACCTTTTGGTTAGCAGCTGAGCACGTTAACTGTCTGCACCACCCAGGAACTCCCAGGACAATGACTGAGAGAAATCATAAAAATGCATAAATCATAAAAGGTGAAAGTGGGAGACACGGCACTTGGCAAAGGCTCTCCCCAAGAGGAGAGCAGGACATTTGGACAGGACTGTGGCGAACTTCAGGGCAAAAAGCTCCAGTCCCTGGACCCCTCATTTGAGGACCACCCATCTTGCGCACCTCATCTGCACAGCCTCAGGGAACCGAGCCCAGCCCCCACCCAGCTTCTGAATCAAGCGACTATAGGTTGGGATGGCATCTAATTCTGAAATGGGGTTGTCGAATTTAAAAGAATAAAGGCCACTAAACTTCACAGCTTTAGAATGAAATCAAAACTAGTTAGGGGCAAGGGACTTTTCGTTTATTGGGCACACAGCAGAAGGTGCAGGAACTAAAAGAGAAGAGTCTCCGCTGGGATTTCTCACGGCAGCCTGAACTGGAAACAAGACTGCGTTCCAGGAAGCAGTTTATTCTTTTCGTAGCAGACTGGTTACTGTTAATAAAACT